ACAGTACTCGCTTTAAAAAAAAAAAAGTCCTTTCTTCCTCCTTTTTCTTTCCACTAGCTACTGAGCACTTAAAATTTGAGAATGGGTAAGTAACTATACATTTTAAATATAGAACATTCCTGTCAAGTTCTACTGGACAACGTGCTCTAGAATATAAGCTATCAAAAGAAATACTGTCTTAGTTATCACTACATCCTCAGACCCTACCACATACTTGTCATGCTAATTAGTCAACAAGCCAAAATGTCAATAGCTCTCTGTATACAAACAAGGCACTGTCGCTCCCCACTTAATGTCTTAGCTAAAACTTACCTGCTGGTATGTGTTGGTTGCAATAATTGGGCGGATCACAGGAGCTGCTGGGACCTGCATCGCATCTACTGTGGGGACCGTGGGCACCGCAGTTGGGATTCCGGTAACTGGAGCCCCCAGAACTTCCTGCTCAAACCTGGGGGATCAGGACAGACACCACAGGTCAGGTTCTTCATCGCCGCCAACGTCTCCAAAACCCCCAGCCCCAACACTATCCGCAGGTCCCACTTCCTCATCACAGAGCCATATCTTGGGCCTATGAAGGGCTGGAAGCTCCAGGATCCAGTAGCTCTGATTTTGAGCTGGTTTTTATCTCTGTCGCGGGCCTTACAGGGCCATCTCCGCCTCCATTTCCTTCAAGCGTTCCTCGCCGCTCTTGCCCGGGATGCCGGCACCAGGGCCTGGGACCACGGGTCCTCCTGCACCCGGGAGTCCCGGGGCAGGCCCCGCCCCAGCCATTGCTGCTGCTGCTGCTGTCGCTGCTACTACCACCTCGGTCGAGCCGCTGACGCCGCCACCGCCCCTGCGGTCCCCTCTCAACCTTCGTCAGGACGGGCGCCCACCGATGACGTATTACCGAAAGCGACGGACGCTGTCTCATGACGTCATACACCCTAGACCAAGGACCAATGAGAAATGACTGAACCCCCCTAAGGAGGACTGTAAGCCTACCGGAGTGCCCGAAAGTATCAAGAGGAAAACCTGGCTCTATCAGGACGCAGCGAAGAGAGGCGGCCACGCCCTCATGGAGAAACGAAGGCTAATCAGAGCGAAGCAAAGTCAGTTGGCCCCATCCCTAATGCGGAGTCTGGCTGGACCTCTGAAAACGCGGAAAAGTTCGGAGGCCACTCCTATGTCGCCTTGAGACCCAAACCAGGAGTTCGTAAACACTCTGAAGTCTGCATTAACCTTGTCGAGACTGGAGACCTACCTTGGATGGGGAACTCCTCCACTGAGGTGGACGCAGACTATCGGAGATTACCGAAGACCAGAGAGCTCGTGGTGGAAATAGGCAGGACGCTCTGACCCAGTTTTCTGGAAAAGGGGGCATCTGAAAACATTTGCTAGATAAAATGGGGAGAGATGTTCTAGATGGAATCAACAGCTCATGCCCAAGCAGAGGACACGTGCATGGGTTCCTTGAGCCCTTAGGAAACATTTAGCTTTTTAATATTTTTTGATGGTCCTCAAAGCTTTTTATTATGACTATTTTCAAACATACACAACATTAGAAGGAAAAGTATAAAGAACCCTGCCCCTATATAACGCAAACACTACCAATATTATACACTTTCGGTTTCATCTTTAAAATTCACTCATTTTTCTTGGAGTATGTGAAAAACAAATTCCAGAATTATTAATTCACTGAAATGCGTCAGTATATTTTAACAGATAAGGACATTGTTTTGTTTTGTGCTGGGATTACAGGCGTGCGCCACCACGCCCTGCTTAAGGACATTTTAAAAAATACACAAAGTATACTGTTGACACCATCAAATCATTTCTTTAGGGCTGGGCGTGGTGGCATAAGCCTGTAGGTCTAGCGCCTGTCGTGCCAGCTCCTCATGAGGCTGAGAAAGGAGGATTGCCTCAAACTACAGCTACAGAGTGAGTTCAAAACCAGCCTGAACTACATAGCAAGACCCTGTCTCAAAAAAAAAAAAAATCCTTAGTTTCATTGAGCACCCAGACTATGTTCGATTTCCCTGACTCAAAAATGTCTTTGTACAGTAGAATTGTAAAATAAGGATGCAAATAAAATCACACATCGCATTTGGCTGGTTGTTTTTCCCCCCATCAAAATTTACTGGTTGCCTTGTTATCTTGAAGCCCCCATCTTGAATCAGCAAGAATGAATGCTTTACTAAAATGCTGGCTTTGTTTTCTTTTGTGATAAAGAGAGGGTTAAGGAGAGAATTGGTAGCACTTTAAAAAACAAAATAAAACATTAACTAATGTCCAAACTTTAGATTTTTTTTTTTGTTGTTTTTTTTGAGACAGGGTCTCACTATGTAGTTGAGATTGACCTGGAACTCACTATGTAGCCCAGGCTGGTCTCAAACTCACAGCGATCCTCCTGCCTCAGCCTCTCGAGTGCTGGGATTACAGGCATGCACCACCATGTCTGGCTCTCTTGTCCTTTTTATTATAGCCATTCTAACAGATGTGAGGTGATACCCCATAGTTTTGGTTTGCATTTTGCTGATGAGCAATAATATTGAGTGTATTTTTATGTCCCTATTGGCTATTTATGTATCTTTGGAGAAATGTCTGTTCAGGTCCTTTGCCAATTTTTAATCAGATGATTTATTTGCTATTAAGGTGTATGAGAGCCTCATATATTTGGGACATTAACCCTTTTTCAGGCATATGGTTTGTAGATACTTTCTCCTTTACCATTGATTGCCTTTTCTTTTTCTTGGTTTTGTTGTTTTCTTTTTCTTTTTTTTTAATTTTGTTGTTGTTTTGAGATAGAGTTTTACTATGCAATTCAGGTTGCTCTCAAACTCACAAGGATCCTCCTGCCTTGGCCTCCTGAGTGCTAGGATTACAGGCATGTGCCACCATGCCTGGCACTTTTTCATTTTGTTGATTGTTGCCTTTGCTGTGCTCAATCTTTTTAGTTTGTTATAGTCCTACTTGTTTATTTGTGCTTTTGTCACCTGTGATTTTGTGTTATATCCAAAAGAAAAAAATCATTGGCAAGACCAGTGTTTAAAACCTTTTCCTTACATTTTCTTGTAGAAATTTTAGTTTCAGATATTGCATTTAAGTCTTTAATCTATTTCAGGTTAGTTTTTGTGTATGATATAAGACAAGTATACAGTCTGCAGTTTTTCCAATGCCATTTGTTGAAGAGCCATCCATTCCCCTTTGCATATTTTGGTGCTCTTATAAAGATCAAAGTAAATTTTTTTTTTTTGTACTGGGGATCGAACTCAGGACCTTGTGTTTGCAAGGCAGGTGTGGTGACACTGAGCTAAATCCCTGGCCTTAAAGATCATTTGATTATAGGGGATTTGTTTCAGGACTCTATTCTGTTCCATTGGTCTGTGTCTATTTTTGTGACAGTACCATATTCTTTTTTTTTTTTTGAGACAGGGTCTCACTATGTAGTTGAGACTGACCTGGAACTCAC